ACAATTACATTAGAAAAAAAGAAAGAAACTAACTACCTATATGGAATGGTGTTTAAGTGATTCCTAAAGTCCTTTTAAATGTATTTACACGAACAATAATACTTTAAGAGATATTTTTTTCCGTACAGTGGCCGTATTCGACCCACTGATAGTTCCTTTATCATTGACCTTAGTAAATTTAATCACTAAAATCTAAAAAAAAAAAATATGTCTACTTGACGACGGTGTACTTAGAATTTAATTATTTTGAACTGTTTTTGAGAAATCCCTTCTTATTCAATAAAAAAACATGACCACTTCAAGAAAAATTCAAAATTGGTCTTATTTCCTTTTCGGCCCATGCGTCAAATGAACTTTTTTGTTGAAAATTGTGTCTAGAATCACTTCTTATAGTTTGGCCATTAAGAAGTGACATGCCCTGTATACCCCATCTAAGAAGACCATAAAGGTGAAGATAATTTATGATGGAACGAGAGGAAAGGCGTAGCGTGGCTTCTTCGAATTTTTTGGGGCAATAGCATCAAATCTTTGTTATGGATTATATTATTATTAAAATATATGATAAAGCTAAAAATATTATAGCAATTTTCAGTTTTAGTATGAAAAAGTGGAGATTCTATGAATATTTTCATGTTTTCAAAATTTTATATCGATTTCTGTTAACTTTTTAATTTATTTAAAAGACATTTGGAGCCACATACCCCCCTTCTCTCACTTGACACTAACTTTTGAATCCAGGAACCCGTGGCAAAAAAAGGTGTCATATCTCATATTAAGCTTTGTCATAATAAATTGATCATATCCAGAGGCCTGATGGCTATATGACAACATATAGCCGTTGGAATACAAACTGGCGGCCAAGTGAAGATTAGAGACCCTACATAGGTTGTAAGCCTATATATGTAGAGAGCTTATAGACATATAAAGCTGCCAACCCTTTCAATTTATAGTATTTACAGTCTTAAGGCATGAAATAATAGTCAGTTACCCCATACCCGTGGATTTCAAGTCTAAAAATTGAGTTTATGATTCAAAGAGCTTACTTTTTTCGTTTTCTCTCTTATATAAGTGAAACTATGCGTTCTATATAGAATAATACGATACGTGCAATTAAAGCTGACAACATTTTCAACATAAATAGTTATATTAGTTTATTCGCTATATTCTATAGTTTCCATAATTCACTAATTTTGAGAAAAAAAAATGTTTGCACCGCATTTTTATCATTATTTGACTCGCTAACTCTTTATCTTTTCATTTTACGAAAAAGTCCTGAGAAAGAAAGTTGTTTAATATTACATTTTCTTTAAGAATATTACTCTACTATATTATCTTCAACCATTCAAAGGCTAGAGCATTTATAATTTAATGATTAAACTCCCAACCTACACACAATGACTTACTTTTCGCGTGTTTCGTTATTACACAGCTAGCATATATATGTATATTATGAAAGTCAATGTATACACATGTATGTACATTGATTAGATTAAGAGCTGTGTAATACCGAAAATTGCGAAAAGTAAGTTTTTCTGTATAGTTTGGAAGTTTAATCATTAAATTATAATTGCTCTAACCTTTGAATGGTTGAAGATAATATAGTAGAGTAACACATATTTTTAAAGAAAATTTAATGTTAAACAACTTTCTTCCTTATGGTTTTTTTGTAAAATGAAAAGATAAAGAGTTAGCGAGTCAAATAATGATAAAAATGCGATGCAAATTTTTTTTTCCTCAAAATTAGTGAATTACGAACAAGGATATCACGGAAACTATAGAATTTAGTGAAAAACTAATCTAACAATTGTTATTGCAAATTTGGTGTGCTTTAATTTCATATATCACATTACTACAGATAGAACGCACAGTTTCACTGATATAAGCGAAAAAATGATAAAATTTAACTTTTTGAATCGTAAATTCAATTTTTCAACTTGAAATCCAAGGCTATGGAGTAACTGACTATTATTTCATGTCTTAAGACTTTAAATTGAAAGGGTTGGTAGATTTATATATCTATAAGCTCTCTCTATATATATGCTTACAACCTATATAGGGTCTCTTCTATCTTCACATGACCACCATCTTATATTCCAGCAGCTATATGCTGGCAGTGTGCATTTTATAAGGACAAACCTTAGTATGAAATATGACACCTTTTTTTGGCATGGGCTCCAGGACTATTTGAGCTAGAGCTATAAATCAAATCACCTGGATTAAAAAAAGTTTTTTACGAAAACCATACTAGTTTTCGATTGTTTTAATTTTTCTGATAACATTATGGAGCCTTAAGAATAATTCATCCACACATTAAATGATTGATAGTTTTGTAACAACATGAATCTGATTCAAGGCTAACAACATAAAAAATACAAGTTCCTATCCTGTAAATATTTTCTTTTCCGTAGTTTGTAGGAGAAATAATATTATTTTTATTTAATTGGAGAGAAGTTGGTTGAGGTGTTCAGTCAAAAATAAACAAATTAAAAATGAATATCATTGATTAATTTTTAATAAAATTAATATTATTTATTTATTTTTAATCAAATAAATATAATTTATTTATTTTTAATCAAATAAATATCATTTATTTATTTTTAATAAAATAAATATCATTTTTCTATTTTTGACTGGTCTTATGGGAACTTCGTTGGCAAATATCATTTATTTATTTTTAATATGTTTATTTTTTACTAAACACCCCAACCAACTTTTCTTCAATTATTCACTATAGTCAACCATCCTACCACTATTATTTTTATTTAATTAATTTTTTTTGACATTATTGATTGACTGAAGTAGGTAACAAATTCATAATTCTAAGTTGACAAAAATAACCTATTTCAATTGTGTATATAAAAATAGAAAACAAAAATTTAGCTTATAATAATCCATGATCTTCTTATTAGACTTTCAGTATTCCTCAATTTTTTTTCTTTATAATGTACAAATTGGATTAAAATTAAATATTTTTTTATAAAACATGTAATGACATTTAATATAACTTAAAAACATTAAAAATCAATTCTGTTTACTTTCTTTATCAATAGTATATGATAGATAAGAAGGAAAATAGTTTCTCCGAGAATGAGTGCTATCAAGTGTATGTATTTCAAGGTTTTCATCAACCACTGAACCCAAACATTAGACTCCTATTTTAATTTAGCAAATAAAATATTTGTATACAAATATATTTTATGATACAAAAGAAAAAAATATTTTTCTTTATTACTCAGTCCATACTTACGCTTCTTATTAGCAGAACCAACAGATATAGCAGAAAATATTTGTACAAATTATCTTATAAAAGTATGACATAGTGAAGAATATATTAATAGCCCAATTAATATATCATAGCCCAGTTTGTAAGAGAAAAGTAAGAAGTAAAGAATAAAAGAAATTATAACTTATTATTATACAGACTGGACCAGTGATAATATTCAAATACTTTTAATAATTCTGTACGAAAATATCTTCCTTTTGTAACTATTTAATTTCGTATCCGTTTTCAACCATGAAAACTTCAAAATGTTACACAAAATCTAATAATAAAATGACATATCTAATAGTTTTATTGATAGAAGTTGGTTTTGGGGTGCAATCAAAGGTAAAAGTTTACAATAAAACTTTATTATCTTTGTGTTGACATTTCGGTCCAAACGGCCATTATCAGAGCTGCTAATCGGAAATATTTGAAGCAAGTGCCTCAAAGAAAAAAAAATTGCAGTAAATCCCTCATCTAATTCTTTATTGTCTTCACTCCGCGTTTTAAGGAAATTTGTTTTGAAGATTTCAGACAAACAGCGCTGATGGAGACCTAAAACTCAGGCTGAAATGTCAGCACAAAAAAAATAATTAAGTTTTTGTGTAGTTTCACCTTTGACATCCCAAGGAGGCAATTCAAACATTTAGTTAACATAAATATATTATCTTCTCAATGTTAGCACATAGGCATAAAAACGGTTAGTTGAGAAGTTTTAAGGAAAACACAAGAATTATTGATAAATTGTTTTTTCCAAAATTATAATTTTCTGAATTTATAGTTTTTACCTATTAAAGGTTTGGACCTGTTATTTGCAAATAGTAATTAGTCAATAAATAATAAAGGTATAAAAAAAGGCCCAACTTATAAAGAGATCCCTAGGAATAATTTGAGAGTCGAGATGTTTGCAAGAAAAAATAAAAAAATTCACATTTTATTCCTATACTTCGACTGATCCCTGATAATATAATTTGGATAAAAAAAAAAAAAATTATTTTAGTAGAAATAGATTCATAATTAGGAATCTTCAATACCAACAGAAATAAATGTGAAAATTGTTCATGTAAAGAGAAAATTGTAATGACCAATAACAAATTTGTAATTTTACAAAAAATAATAGAAACACTGAAGATGGCTAATTGTTCAATTAAAACAAAACAAAATAAAAAAATAATTCCAAATGCTTATTTCTAGGAAAATAAGTAATACAAAATATTTGTTAAAGAAATATTTAATTGTTTATAAATTAAATGTAAATTTATTTTCAATATACTATTATATACATATATATTTTGCATGTATTATTTATTTCTCTGTTTCAACATTCCTAATATTGAAGTTATTTATTAATAGGTAGGATCAAATACACAAACACAATATTCCCTATAAAAATAATCTTAATAAATAAAAAATAAAACGTTATAGTTTTATATGTAAATATAATGTTTTTAATTTTAAACTCTTTTCTTCAATATATTGTCTCTATAGAATTTTTAAAATTAATAAATAAATTTAAAATTAAAATACTTTAAAGAATATTCTATATTTTTTCAATGAAACAAAAAATAAATTTTAAATTAAAAAATTACTGATTTCTTTCAATCACACAAATTAAAAAAATATTTCAAACAGAGTATATTTTATTCTCAATTCTTAAAAAATCAAAGAAATACAAAATAAAATACAACAAAACCATTGAAAAATATATATATTATATTAACCGAGCCAAATTACTAACTTGGTAGACTGCCCCGCTTATGCCTGCTAGCGAAGAAACCAAACAAATAATGTTGTATAAACCCGAATTAAAATGAATGAGTGTAGATATCGAAGAACTGTTAGGGTTGCAGCAAAATTTTTGCATCAGTGGATCAGACATGATTGCACTCAAAACACAGCACTGACCACCTATTATATAACACAGGTAATGGAAGGTTACACTCCTATATCAACAAAAAAAATAAGGCAAAGACCTATATGGTCCTATTCAAAAGGTCTTTGTTATGGTTTTATTATTTTCCTTCATATTAAGTTTAGCAAAACTCATTGTATCATGGCAGGTAAATAATTAATATAACAATAATAAATTTATAAAAATATAATTCATTAGCTCAGTTAACCTATCCTCCTAAGTTAAATTTAAGAAATATTAATTACTTGGGAATACTAGATTTTGCTCTCAAAAATACCAAAAATAAGAAGAGACTGTGCAGCAACTTTCATTTATTGTTTTTATATAGGAATAGTCTCATAGTAATATTGCACACATAGTAAAAATAATTTATTTAACCTGTTATGTTGAGGGACATAAAAATCTTTCCTTCAGCAGTTTTGACTTATAATTTTGATATGAAATTATGTTTCATAATTGCGAAATAAAAAGTTAAAACGAGCTAGCAGAGATTTCATAACTTATAAACTAGATGTTATTAAAGTATAATATTAGTATATTATAGCATTAGTATTGGAATGTAATAATGACAACATTGTTAAACAAAACCTTAAAAATTAAATAAATGTAGTAATACAATTAATTAACAATACATTTTACAAAGTCTAAATGTATTCACATTAATCAAGATCAACATGTCACAATTTACACATAAAATACATTTAATTTTCACATTTTTGGGTAAAGGGCAATTCTAGAAACTTCAATAAAAAACAAACTTCAATTGGAATTTAATAGACACCAGGTTCTAGCAACCTAATCATTTAACTCTACAACGAACTGTTCAATTTTAGTCCAAAGAGTCAAAAGGGTAAATCGCATTCTTATAGTCTAAACTGTAAAGATGTATTCGATCTTTGATAATAAAAAATGTAATAATGGTTATAGTTATCAAATAACTTTATAAAGGGTCTTAAAGATCCTACGAGTACACTTTATCGTGACCGAACCATGACTTAATTCTTACATTGAATTTAAGGTTACTTTTTCGGTTTTCCGAAATGAAAATTGTATCACTTTAAGCCCAGTTTGGTTATCAAAAGATAGGCTACCTTGCCGGATTTCGGAAGCAAAAAAGCTATTTTCGATAGAGAATCTAATCATCTGTAGGTTCCGCTATATTTTCTATGTAGCAACCTCGTGAAAGCCTCCTTCTTGAAACTCCATACTGATCAGATCTTTATTCCTCCCATCACCTCGTATTCTTCCAAATTCAAAGCAATACAAACTAGAATCCTATTGCTCAAATAACCTGACAGAAATTATTGCTGTGTTGAAGGTGGGTGAATATATAGGGTAACTAGAAGCTCCGAAAGAAACGACTTGCCTTCATATCATCCTTTAACCTATATTAAAAGGGACCTAACGTTGGATTTCGAGTTAAGTGTGAGACCAAATGAAGATTGGACATCAATAACAGGCTGTCACTAAAAATCAAAAAATGAGTTAGAACCGTGACATTGTCCACGTGACAAGAATGTTATATTATTCAATAAATAATAAAAAATCGAAAAATAAAAAAAAACTTTAGGTTGTTTAAATTGGCGAGTAGCACGTTTTTACTGGTAAAAGTAAGTCACATAGAACGTTCTACGTTTTTCAATATAAATTATTTCTTTTCGTTTATAGAAAAAATACGTCTTTTAAAAATCATGGAATAAAGCATGAATATTCATGATGATATCTTACTCGAGATCGTAAATAAAACATTTAGTTAGTTTTTTTTTTAAGTTTTTTGACAAAACAAAAAAAAGAATAAGTTAAAATTAAACGTTTGGCACTTATCCAATTATTGATGTCCAGTATTCAAATGTAGGTGACCTCAATAAAGTCACCAAGTTAACGTAAATTTATACTTTACATAACAATTCAAAATTATGGACATAAGCACGGAATACAAACTAACGAAAGTACTGTAGAAACATGACAATAAAAACAATATCGACATAATACAAACAGACTTATGCGATGAAGACTGACAAATCCAAAATTGAAACTATTAGACTGTAAATTATATAACAGATAACGATTTCAATTAATAAAAAAAATCAAGAAAAATACAATACTATACTAAAAGTCTTGGATTATCATAATCCTTTCCTCAAATGCCACGATATAGATTTAGGTTACTGTCTCTAGTTTGAGCCAGGTTTCCCAAACATGTTGTCTTCATCTCTTTCATCCATTTCAATTCCCGAAAGCCTTGAGGTATACATTCTTTCCAAGAGGTGAGGGATCTTCCTAATGATACTCAAGATTCATTAAGATGAAAGAAATTTCATCTTAATGAGGTAGTTAAATGAAATGAGGTATTTATTGAATAATATAACATTCCTGTCACGTTTCTAACTCATTTTTTGATTTTTAGTGACTTAGCCCGTTATTGATGTCCAATCTTCATTTGGTCTCACCTTTAAATCGAAATCAAACGTTAGATCCCTTTTTATATAGGATGAGATAAAGAATGATATGAAGGCAAGAGATCGCTTTTAGTGGTTTCTTTTAGAGCTTCTAGTTACCCTACAAACTCAACCCCCTTTAACACAACAATCATTTCTGTCAGATTATTTAAGCAATAGGATTTTAGTTTGTGTTGTTGTTCCATATTATTTGAAGTCTGGTGAACTTGACGGGTAGCCACTGTCCTTAATACTCAATGATTTTGAGTAGAAAGAGGACTGCCAGATTGACGGTTATGATGCTATGGATAGCCAGTCGCAGCATCATGGTTCTTAGCAATCGAGTTCAGACAAAGTAGGGACAGCAGGCACGACCTCGTCAATCTGATTTAATTTTTTTAAACAACATATTACATACATTATATAGGAGAATGTGGGATTTCACTGTTGAATTTAATATTAGACGAGAGCACGAGGAACTTATAAGGATAGATCTATTTTATGTTCTCTGATTTTGATTCAAACAGAACATCTTTATGTATTATCGTCATACTAAATAATTTTTTGAACAATTTTCTTCCCCTTTACTTGAGGAAAGTTGTGGTTAAATGGTTAAAAAAAAGTTAACTTAAATTGTTCTTATGCAACCAAACCATTATACGACTAAATGTTTTCTCTGATTCTTTGAATGTCGTAGAAATAATCATTTGCCTTTACCAAAAAAATTTAAATGACTTCGTTTCATATATATAAAGGCATTAGATTTTTTTGTTTTGTTTTTATACATATCTATACGTAATTACAAATTTAATGTTACATCTTTTAAGTTAATAGGTTAAGAATTGATGAATTAAAAAATATTACAGTTACGTGGAATAAAATATTTTTATTTTATTTTTATATTAATACGTCATTACTGTTATCTATTATCAAACTAAATTATCTACTATTTCTTTGTTGTCTGGTTTGATGAGTTAATCGTCTTTGTCCACAAACTTAGTTTTAAAAGGCATTATAACCCCTAAATAAATTCTTGAAATTCACTACGAAAGTCGGTTCCTGGATGAAAATTTAAATATATATATATATATATAGGACGGAAGAAACTTATTCATAATTTTAAGACCATTAGCATTAATTAATCTTTTAAAATAATATTACTCGGTCCACTAAACAGAATATCACGGAAAGAAACCCCTACCTTTCATTCTTATTCTGAGTAACAAGTTATTTTGAGACCTACCTCACACATCATGTTGTACACAACCTCGGTGTAAACGTGCTTTGAAATAGTGAAAGTTTGATCCAAGCTGAAATATTTACAAGGATAATAGTATTTTGATGATTTAAGTTTATGTGAGGTAAAAATAAAGCTTTTCAATTTTATACTGTAACTTTTGTGGTTTTTAATTTTGGTTAGTAATTTAGTTTTATTTATTCTTTATAATTTGAAAGTTTAATGTAACATATTTCTTCATTTGTATTAAATTTAATCTTAAGTTCATGATTTCTAATATTCATTTATTTAATAATGTATAGATCTTTACAAATATTTATTTACAGTTTGCTATGTTTTAATTTTAACAAATTATTGCTGTTAATATCATATTAGATCTTTGTGTAATGTTGACAGCAGATATCCAGAGTTTGTTTCCTTCACATAATTGTTGTTTTATAAAGGGATTAAGTTCGAAATGTTATTTTGCTTAATTAATTCTACAAATTTGTAACTTTTGGTTTGAAAAAAAAAAACTCCTGAAAATTCAAAAGTTATTTCTGATATGTTTTATTTCATTTTTCCCTGCTTATCCGAGAATTTGAAATGATATATATGTTTTTAATTACTCAAATTAAACTATCATTAAAAAAAGTTTTCTTTAATCTTGATTATTTGTGTACACCTTTTGCTTTTTTATTTTACTGACTAAAAAATAAATTGGTATCATATTTATTATTTATAATAAATTAAGAAGTTGGTATATCATTTCTATAGATGCTGTCATTTATTTATTACTAAATTTTAAAAATTAAACTAATATTGTTTATCGAAAATTAATGTGTTACCATTAATATACTTGAATTTTATAGATGAAGAGTTGAGTGATATGCGAGACAAAGAGTGGGTTCTGGTTGGTCGAGGCAGGCCAATAAACAGCTCTGCTTTCGAGTCGCCTTCACATCCTGCTGCACTTCTTTCAGGTTTCCACAATCTCAGGTCGAAGGGACATCTATTAGATGTTACTCTCATTGCCCAGGGAGAAGCATTTAAGGTAACACTAAATATGTATTTTGGTATTATTGTACAAGTGGCACTCCACTTTTACGGGTAGGCCAAGATCTCATGATCACACTATAAATGGAATTCTGTGAATAGCTGAGGATTGACTATGTGTTAACATTATAACCTTGACTTATGGCTTCTGCAAACTCTCCATTGGTCCTTTTTTGTTTAAATCTGGGCATTAGTTAGCTTTAATTACATCATTGATTTCAACTTATGCTCGCTCAAAAGAGATAAGGAAACTCCAACAGGTTCTCTTCAGTAGGGATTGGGACCTTAACAGTTTGGTCACTTCCATCTACTTTCTGACCTATTCAGCCATTCTCAGAATTCCATTTCTGGTGTGATCATGAGATTTTGTACCAACAATTACAGTGGAGTGACATTTGTACATTATTTCTTGTATTTCTTACGATTATTAACAGAATTTAATGAATTGATTTTGCTATTTTTGACCACCACTTGGATTGTCTTTTTGATGTATCAGGTGTGTGAATATGTTTCCGCCATTTGTTAATCTGGTGAATTCAGTTCTTGTGGAAAGAGATGAAAGAAGAGAATCATTGTGAAAACTAATGACAATAATGCTCTATCTGAAGTGGCGCAAGAACAACTTGAAGAATCATTGAGAATTGTTTAAATTATAGTTGCTATATGTTTAAAAGCTTTAGGAATGGCTGAAAAGCAAAGTAAGATATGTCAAACGATGAGTATTCACCATTTTCTTTTTTCGTCCTCCCCTTCCTCACCTTTTAGGCTATACGATGTTTTCCTGAGCCAGAGGGTAAGGGGGAGATATTAATACCAGAGTTAAAAGCCCTTCTTGGTAACTGGACGCGAACTCCTAATTATTTTATCAATTATCTCATATATCATGGTTTAGGGAACAGCGGTACTTTGCATACGCCACCCCATCCCCAATGAGTATTCACCTGCAAACAACTATTTTACGACCAAAAAAATTTTTTCCTTCATCTCATAACTGGTGATAAAAAGTGGATACACCACGACAATCCCTAAGCGAAATAAAAAATCATGAGAATTACCTGGACAGGCCTCAACATTCACAGCAAAGTAGAACATTCATAATTCCAAGCTTCAGCAGGGACACATAAGGTTATTTTACTGCACCATAACACGACCTCCTGTTGCAAACCGGGTTAAAGTTATGCTCCACTCACTGTATTCACCAGACATTGTTCCTTCCGGCTACCACTTGTTCGGATCGCTGTCTCACTACCTGGTTGAACTGTATTTCCATTCTTATGATAAAACTAAAAAATGGGTCAGTGACTAGATTGCCTCAAAAGGCATTTCTTTTTTGCATTGTGGAATCTGTATGTTAAATGAATGATGGGTGAAAGTATTGTTTTGCAATGGATAATACTTTGAATGACTGTCTCTGACCATTTTTTATAAATAAAGTTTTCATTTTTTTTAAATACGGCAGGAACTTATACACCCACCCTATATTTATTACGTTTCACCAGTGTGATATCTTAATATAACATGCTGGAACAGTTCTAATAATTCTTGTCCTATTGAATTTGATATTATCACAGAAAAACCTATGTTCATCATTATTTAATTTGTTGGCACATTTTAGCCATTTATTATTCCAAATAATGTATTACTGTCTGTTCTCTTTTGACAAATATGTTATAAAACTCAAGCCATATGTGTTATAAATTAAATACTAAAGCTATAATAATTTTCACCAACCTATAGTAATTCCAAATACAGCAAATAAGTAGTAAGTTTTATCTTCCGATTTCCAGCCCACTACTTTGCTTTATAATGGCAGATTCCATTCAATCAAAAAATTTCATTTGTGGCTTAAACAAGCCTTGAATTGAATTGAATTGCATTGAATTTCAGGCTGAGAAAAAGTCGGACAATTTTCATGCGATCATCAAACTTGTGTCATATTTTATCATACTTTTCAGACCTCACTCAATCAGATATTCACTTATTTTGTTCTATGGCCCATTTCCTTCAAGAGAAAAAAATTAATAATTTTGTAAAGGTTTAAATTGTACTGCAAGAGTTTTTCAATAACCACCCCAAGGAGTACCAGAATAGCATCCAAAACCTGGCTGCTAGATGGTTGAAAAAACTCAATTATAATAGACAATGTTTTTACTATTATTTAAGTATTATATTTAAGAAAAAAAATATATATACCTTTTTTTTGTAGCAGTACTGTTTTGTAATTCACCATATAAAATTCTTTTATGGTGGATTTACACCAAAAATTTGTATTAACCATGTTTATAACAAAATAATAACATATCTTTGGGCTGTCTGAATAGGAAATAATATATTTTTGTTGATTAAATATGTATGAATTTTTATTTTACAGAATTTTATTTACTTTTCATTCCTTACAGAATCATTACCTATATAAATATTATATTTTTAGGCTCATAAAGTGGTGTTGGCATCATGTTCCGACTACTTCAGAGCAATGTTCACCGATGCAATGCTCGAGTCTCGTCAGTCAGAAATCTGTCTCAAAGGGGTTTCAGCTGCAGGTATGAGCCTTCTCCTTGATTATGTTTATACTTCGAGACTTGCCTTGACATTGGCAAACGTGCAAGATGTTCTCTCTGCTGCCTCACATGTCCAACTGCTGCCGGTTGTTGAAGCCTGTTCCAACTACTTACAGGTATATTACATATTTCACTGTTCAATTTATTAGATCTTCTCTTATCATGAGATTTGTTCATTATATGAAATATGGATTTTACAAAAAATATTTTATACTAAGTATAAGAAATATTTAAAAAAAAAAATAGCGTTCATCGCAAAAATATTGTTGTGAATGATATTATTTTACTTGGTTACTTGATTTTTCTTCTACTTAGCTGTTTTTATGCTAGTCCAGCATTCTCCACTTCTCTTGCTCCTGAAGCCCAAAGTAGTTGGTCTCCGCACTTCATGATTTGTAGAGTCACAATTGAAAAAAAGTTGTTTTCTCCCATTTGCTATTTACTAAATATTCTAGCTAACAATAGTGATATAAATAAAAACAATGAAGACTTTTATGGCTAATCCATGGTTTAGGAACCTCATTCTCTTTTGAGAAAGAAATAATTAGTTAAAAGGGCCTGTTTGATACAACATATTTTCATTTTATGGAGATAGGACTTGGAGAGGAAAAGACTTCACAAGATAAGCTCTTTGCCTGCTTTAACCTTATGATAGTAGGAATTTTGGGAATGGTTCTCTGGGTACCAATTTGTGGATAAAGTGTTTTTTTTTTTTTTTATTTCTTATGATAGAATACAATAAAAAATAAGTTTTGCTTATTATTGTGTTTTTGCTTCATTGACTTCACTTCCAAACAAAATTGTTAAAATGATATAATAATATTCTTTTAAATATGAAATATTGTTATTAATATACAAACATTGTTTTTAAATGCTAATTTTTTTTTTTCAGTCCCAGCTTGATATTGAAAACTGTATTGATATTGCAACTATATCTGAAACTTATTCACTAAGCGGACTTCGAACAGTCGTCATCCAGTTCATGTGTTCTCATCTGGTAGAATTGTCAGAGTCGCCTGAATTTTGTCGTCTCCACCCTGGTCAGCTTGAGCACATCCTTGCTTCAGATTTTCCTGTAGACTGTCCAGAACTACAGGTGTTGGAACTTACTTTGCGCTGGCTATCTTTGGCCTGTCTACCTGACCCACATAGGTAAATTAATGTTATGGTTTAAAATATTTGATTTTTTTTTTTTTTTTTTTTTTTGTTTTATCATAGTATTTGTATGCATTCACTGATTATAATTTACAACATATGGCAATTTAATAGACAGATGCTTATAATTTAGTATCTTATTCTACTGACAGGGCAATGTGGACCAGCCGATTCTTGCACAAGATTCAACTTAGTGAGATCTTGTGGTGCGACATTGAGGGGCTCATTGAAAACGAGGACAGGGTGACTAGGCGGCTGGTCGTAGCAGAGGCCCTGCACCAGACCAAGCTAATGTCCCCACCAGCCCCTCGCCTTCTCGTCAATTCTCGAGGCATGACTCAATCAATTGTAAAGGTATTGTTGTAATTATATTATTATTATTATATAATAAAAGTTATGTTAATATATAAAACCAATTAATTTTATTGCTTTTGTATATTCATTTTATAATGATACAAAAGTATTAATTTATATACTTAATTTGGTACTAGGTCGGAGGGTTCAGCATAGGAGGCATTACCAACGAGATAACCTACTTACAACCCAGTTCTGGAAAATGGCGCCACCTGACTTCTATACCTCATGTTGAACAATGCAACTTCGGGACTGCAGTCCTCCATAATGACCTCTATGTTGTTGGAGGTTGTTTCAACCAATCTCTGCAAGTCAGTAACACTAAATAATCTTTGACCTTCATTAAATTATTAATTATCTTATCATTCTTTACTGTTCTCCATTTTAGATATAATTTTACCCAGTGTTGGTCTTAGGATTGGATAACTGGAGTAATTGCCCCGTGGTATCAAGTGATTTTTAAAAATTTTGATCAGGTGTATTTTTTTTTTTAATTGTCGATTCCAAACCCTGATTTCAATTTTGTAACTTCTGACCTTCAAGTAAATTTACTGTAGGTTTATTATTAAATTGAATAAGTAACATTTTAGAAAATTAAATCACTAAGTAGTCTGATCTGAGACCTGCTTCTTGTTCTCAAGTCCTCCTAGGAATAGTGGACTGAAGGAATGCTTTTCAGTATGACTGTAGAGCACAGTAAACATTTAAATAGTGCAGTAGACTTCAGCGCACTGGTGCCTTCTCAGTCATTGAGAATGTGCTCGCTCTTAGAAATAGGTGCGATTAAAAATGTATTAAAGAATTAAAGATGTATGAAACATTAGTCTGTTTATTTTTTTCTTTTTCTTAAATTAATTATTGTGGTTTTTTTTGTTTTCTTTAGGAGAATATTCATCCATTTGGATTCAGGTACTCTCCGAGAAGAGATTGTTGGGCCACAATGGCTCCGATGCAAAGGGAGCGCTGTAGATTTTCATTGAATGTAGCCAGTGGTCATCTTATTGCTGTCGGTGGTGTCAGCGAAGGTGATGGGCCAATAGCAGAATGTGAAAGGTCTGTTTATGGATTTTTTTTTTTAATTTGTTGATTTTACATAATCACTTAACGTTATTAGATAGTTTTTATGTAATAATGGATTTGATAAAAAATTTAAAAATAATGTTTTGATTTCTATTTCTATTGGCTCATTATATATTGTAACATTCCTCTTATATTTTAAAATAATAATAATATAACCTCGGAAGCTCATTTCTTACCATTGGGATACTTCCTAAATAAATAAGAGGTTGTTTATAAACAAAATTATAAGAGAATTAATATATTTATTTATCTCGGGTATGGGTTACTGACAATCAGATCAACTCAAACAAACTATTATTATTTCACTATTTGTACTAAAATTAAACACTGATTTTATAATAAATTCTAGTATGGATTGGCAAGCTAATCTTTTTTCTATAGATACTATTTCTTCCTTTGTTGCACTAAATACATTTGTCTTCAAATGCTTTCTAATGTTCTGCCAAACTACTTCCAAGATGGTAATACTATTTCTGGGTTTTACCCACTGGAGCCAAGATCACTTCTCCCATCCTCTCTTTACTGCAGCCACACGACTGTTTGCCAAAACCAAAAACTTTTTCTCTGCACTAGTAGAACTACATTAGCTTGCCTTTTAATTGTTCAATATTAATTTATTAAACCCTTTTTACTCACTTTCAATAAAGCTTATAAATTAGACTTTTTTCTGATTTAGGTATGATCCAGTAGGGGATGTTTGGGAGCGAATAAGCTCCCTTCCTGGCCCAAGCACTCTCCACGCGGCCGCCACTCACAATGGATACCTCTATGTCTCAGGAGGTCTGGATCGTGATATCGCACTCAGCACTATGAGAAGGTATAGTTTTTCCATATGTTCTTTTAATATTATTAAAAGGCTTTGTAAATCTTTAAATTCTTGATATTAAGAAAATTATTGGCTGTAAACCTTAATTTTATTAATTCTTGTATTGGTAATAAATCCTTTTTTTTTTAACTTTCACTTACTTATAGTTTTTTTTTTTTGTTCTCCCCTTCCTCGCCTTTTAGGCTATGAAGGGTTTTCCGGGGGTGGGTGAGGAAGGGAGGATTAATGTCAGAGTCAAAAGCCAATCCCCAGCACCAGCATCATTCAGATTTTTAAATTATAAGTATTTAATTCAATTATTGCTGTTTTTTAAACTGTGAAAAAATAATTTTAACTTTACAGGTCTTCAAAACAATCATTGATATTTATATAAATTGATTGGTGAAAATATTATGTAGGCAACTGTGCTAGGCTGGTTACATTGTAGTTATATATTTCTATCATTTATATATTTATGGACTACTGTTATCCAAGTTTCAATATTTATTACATATGTGCGACAGGTACGACTGGAGGCAGGACAGGTGGGAGACGTTAGCACCTCTACTGTCAGCCAGGGCTGACCACACAATGCTCGTTATGGGCAATAGTCTCTACATTTGTGGTGGCTGGTTAGATGATGATTCCACTGGAAATAGGGTATCTATCTTCATTTATATCAAAATATTTATCAATAAATGTGATTGTCTAATTATCATTTAAATTTAATCAATTTTCATAAATATAACATTTTGTTATTAGCTTCTCATATATTTCATTATATGCCAATTTCCAAGCTTGCCTTTTAGTTATACTTATTTTTTTTATTGTCAGATCTTGGTAGACTCAATCGACAGGTATGACCCAAGTGAGGACAGCTGGTCGAGGGTGGCTAAAGTACCGACACCTCGTTCTCATGCAGGAATAGTCTCTCTCAATAGTAAGATATATATCATCGGTGGTTTTCAATCTGATGCCATGTTCGACACAGCAACCGGTCAGTGTTTAAAAAGTTAATAAATGTATTTATATATTTTTTGAGTTAAAGGTGAAGTTCTAATTTAGTTAATAAAATAATCTGAGCTGTATGCTTTTCAATATTTCGGTTTATTTCATATCCAGCTACTACATACAATTATGCAGTAGCTGGATGAAATAAACTAATGGATCGAAAAAGGTGAAGAAAGCCGAAACATTGCCAATGGTTGTAGAAGTAATAAAGAATTAGTGAAAGGCATACAACCCTTAATAAATAAATATAGTTATTTTGTTATGGTGAATTAAATAGGTAATATAATTATTATTATATCCACTCTTAAAAAGTTTAACAGGAATCTTGTAAATTATATTTATTATAGACAAAATTCAGCATGGTTTTATTTATTTTTGTGTTATAATTTTGTTTCAGCTGTTGTCGACATTTTTGATTTGGAAAGCCAAAGTTGGACTTGCGGTGAAAGTTATCCTCAGGTATGTTATCATTTATCATGATGTTTAATGAACTCAAATTTTTCATTTTAGTTACTATGTTTTGATTGTAATGGCTCTTAAAAATCTGAGACAGTGCTTTTATTTTAATGTTTGGCTAGGTGATTTGAAATGTAAATATTCTATCTTTGTCTTGTTTATATATTTACCTCTTTGTATGTTAGAACTCTACGGATACCTCTATAATATCATTTAGTCTTTCTGACTTCTAATCTCTTTTCTTTTCACGATTCTCTATATATAATTGTACTGCTTTACTGTTAGTCTGTGGTACAGATTCCTTTTTATCAAATTATACATCTGTCGAAAACTTTGTGAATGTCTTCAACTTATATTAGCCTACGGCTTTTTTTATTTATAAAAATTCTTGGAAATGGGATGTTTTTTATCTGGAGATTAGTAAACTTTGTTTATTTAATATAGTACTAAATACTCATGAACGCTCATTGGCTTTCAACTTAAATTGTAATATAATCTAGAAAAAAGGTGACCTACATAAATATTAGGCTGTTTGGCATGACCTCAACCCCCAAAATGTCAAAATAATGAGGTTATATAGGCAAAACATTTATATTAATTAATAAGTAAACATTTATATTAAAACAAATTTATTTTATTTTTTAGGATATTTGGGAGCATACTTGTGTCACCCTATACATTCCCACATGTCGAGAGGACATGGAGGTTTTTCCTGCGTCAACGTAACAACTCATTTCTCTCTTAGTTTTACAAGGGAAACTGTGTCTCTATATTGATATTACAATGATACCAATCCATTATTATATAATGTATAAGACCAGCTCATGTGATTTTTTAAATATTTATATAAACATTTATTTTCAATTTCTGTTTACCGTCATGCGCCTCTATCTTATTTAAAATGAATATTTATCTGTTAACTGCAGATCTTTAATAGATAAAAATTATTTTTTATTTATTAGAAGTAATGAGGATTTTAATTATAGACATTGTTGAAAGCATGCATCCTCAGCACAGTAAGTGAGCCAACTTTATCTGTTCAGTGGATTTGGTAAAAAGAGGATTTATCTATACTCATTAAATCTGATAAATAAGTCATAAATATTTAAAATTAACATCTTCCTCTGGCTTCAAAGTTTTTAAATTTGAAAATAAATCTTTGGATTTTTGATGTTTTGGTTTTGCTGTTTTTATTTCTTTTAACAAAAAAAGGTTAAGGAGTATTTTCAATGTAAAAGTTCGATCCAAGATTTTTTGTTCTCATTATTCTGTTATGTGTATTCTATGTAATGTTTTATTATTATTAGTGTAATCAAAATGGAATGATGCAATACGAGGCTCAACATTAATGTGTTACTAAATGTTAGAGCATTGCTCCAAACTGTTCGTTTTATTTTTTTAATAATTTTTTATTTTATATTTATAAGCATATCATATGGATTGCTTTGCTTAAATAGTTTTTATCCTTCAACAAATATCTCTCTGCCTGTGATAAAAGTTAAATTATTCTCATTTTGTTTTTTTAAATGTTTTCATCCTGGTAATTTTTTTTAGATACAACATTTTTAACTATCATAAAAATATTGAAAGTTTTTATTCTTTATCATTGGCTAAAACCATTTCTTTTTATTCTAATGAATCAGCCCATATGACTAACTACATCAGACTAGTATATAATACAATACCGAAATTAACTATTACAAATAAAATAGAATTTTATTACAGCCAGTAATAGTTTCAGTATTCCAAGTCTGATGAATCCAATTAGTGAAGTGGAAGTTTTCTGCCTGTAAGCCAACAAGGATGTAAACATTAATGGGATGGTATCCAGGTCTGGTTAACAGTCTGCTACTAGTAAACAGATACATAATACAGTTTCTTTTACTTATTTCATCAACACCTTTCCCCACAGGCAAACTCATCTTAGATGCACTATATCTTTTTCCTCCAAGACGTGCGGGTAGTTAAGTTAGTTGGTAAGTAGCTGAGGAAAATGGAAGTCATTATTTAAAGTTTATTTGCAATAAGTAGAAAGGTTTCAATATCAGGATACTAATGAAAAAATTAACAATAAAAATATTTATTACTTTTAAACAATAAAATTGTATTGCATACCATTAAGTAAAAATATATACAAATAGGACTGATTGAATTATTTAATCGAATGATAGATAATTTAGTTTAGTTTTCTTTTTTTTTTTTTTGCTCCTTAAAATTACTAATCAAGAAGTTTCTCTTTTAATCGTTATTTGAAAATCATTGTTGACTTTTTTGAAATATTAATTATTAACGATATATTTTTACTCTAATTTATAGTGTTTTTTTAACGTTGTTTTAAACTTTCTTGGAATACTTATTGTTATTTCGATTTTAGCTTAGTGTTTATTTTACTTGGATTTACATTTTTTTTACAGCTCTATTTTTATATTCTCAGGCTATGTCTGGAGCATCATATCGTTTTTTTTTTTTTTTTTTTCTATTTTTCATGTTTACTCATTATATAGGTCTTTAATGTGCTATAATTTTAAATTGATTTTTGTAGGTTACTGTTGATATTCTAACATTAGACCATTTGTTAAACTTAAATTAAAATGCATATTAAGTTATAATTGAAGTGAATTATGTATTTATGGCATCATATTGTTATCTCACAACTGACTTTTTGCAATAATTCTTTTTTTGTTTCATAGTTTGAATAAAAACCTTTTCATCTTACAGCTCCCATGTCTTTTGAGTACTATAAGTAGTACAATTTTAAAACAAAAAGAAGTTTAGGTACTTGTACTTAAAATTTATAATAATTCAATCTCTTGGTATATTCATATACATTGTTTTTTATTATTTGTTTTCTTTGTATTTATTTACCTAATGATGAGTCACATCCAGGATGAAATAGGTTTAACTCAAAAATTTTAGTGGTCGGACCTCTGCTGTCCCAAAGAGCAGGTACACCTCAAAATTCAAATCAAACCAATCGACACAAAGATCATCTACTAGCAATATGTGGTAAAGGAAACACCCTGGAGCTTATATTTAGAACTTAGCCTCCGTCTAGTATTTATTCCAACAGAAAAACATTTTTTGAGTACTGCCTCTTTCATCTTGGCTGTCTTTGATATGTTTCTACTCTATGTTTTTTTATAAATCTGTAAATTATGTTATAATTGCAGATATGTAAGTATGTAAAAATGTGAGAAGTAATTCACGTGTACATAAATTAATGTTGTTTGTTACTTTTGATTATTATTTTTTTACTCAAATATATATTTTCAATCCTTTGAGTTATTTTAGATATGTATTACATTGTTGCCAATGAATGAAGAAAGTATGTACTTATAATAAAAGAATTGTTATTATATGAATGCTGTGATGCGAGGGCTCTTATTTCGTAGTTTTAATTTACTTCTTACAAATTATAATTTGTTAGATTATGTTAAACACTGCTCAATTATTTATTGTAATAATAAAATATATTTTTTTACTGTACCATATATTTTGGTTATTTATTCACGGTACCTCTTTTATATTTAAATTAATATTTTGTATAGTTTGAGAAATACACTTACAGAATATTTTGAAACAGTGATACGCAGTCGACTCTTGATAATCCGAAATCCAAGGAACTACAAGAAAATTTCGAATTATTAAGAAGTTTGAATTATCAAGAGGAAAGAAAACAAATTCTTATTATCAAGAGTTTTTATATTTTTGGAAATTTGTATGAGCTTACATAAATTTTATATATTTGTACACAGCCACGTATAAAGAACATTACTAGGAAAAATTTTAATTATTAAGAGGAGAAGTAATCTAATTCAAATTATAGAACACTCTCCCTCGTTACGAATACGATTTTGCATGATTGAGTGTATCAAAATACAGCATTTTTTTGATTTACCTAAGTTAACACCTGAAGAGTTTGATTTATTGAGAATGGACTATAGTAAACCTCAATCATTTTTTGGATATTTTAATGATCCATGAATAGCTACTTTTTCTTATTATTCCTCAATTATATTTATTCATATTTATCTCAAAAAAATGTTCTGTGTCAAAAATTTCAGCACTGGATAATATTACTCAAAATCAATAACATATGAGTAAAATTTATTTTAGTTATTCATCACTTTAAACAACAATTTTATTGTTCGTTCGAAGCATTTTACCTCATCTTCAAGATTTTCTTACATTATTTTTCAATTTTAAACTTTACCATCAGTTCATTATCCTCATAGTCTTCTACATTTTCTTATATATTGTATATAAACACATTTTCAATTCTAATAGCGTAATGCTACATTTCTTTTTATATAATGTTATTTTGGGTATACATGTTTTTATTTCACCATCACACAAACATTTGACTGAAATTTATTCATTAATTAATTGTGAATTGAAAACCAAATACTTTTTCATGCAGGGATATTATTAATTTACAAGTTTAATTGAATTGAGTAACACAGTGTATTACCTAAAACTGTAAAAATACTAACATATGTTTGAATGATTTTTTTTTTTTTTTATCTTTATATTATATAGATCCTACTTATCCGAGTGAGCTCTCATGTATATTTACCTTAACATTGAAACTACTTATTGCGGAAAGAAAGTCTTGTGCAGATCAGAAGTGCCCATCCCGCCAAGATCGATGGCGCAAGAACCTGCTTCCTCTCCCACTCCACCAAGATATTTTATTGCTCACCTATTCTTAAAAACAGTGCAAGCGAATGTAGAATTACGAAAATTGTATATCATATACAATTACATTTACTGCTGTCTGTTCTATGTATTTCCCTTGTACGTTAGTTTGAAACTTTTCATTCCAAAAATTCATAACCCCTTCTGGAAATTCATGGCCCAGAGCTGTAGCCACCTAATTGAAAAAAAATTGTAACAGATTGACTGATCAATCTGATGAGCCTGAAAAAGTAACTGTTATAGCAGGTAATAAAGATTAATTTGTGTATTTATTTCAATAATAATCTTACTTAAATTCAAATAGTCTAAGGTATAATTAATAAAAGAAAAAGGCAGAACAGTACCCCCAAAAAACAACCAAATGAATAATGTATGGGAAACCACTTCATTAGAATTAGAAATGGCACTGAGTTTGGTAGCCAGAATACACTTTCCTCCTTGATGTTGTCTTCCAATTCTGAATACTGGTCGACAAGGATTTCTTTAGTATAAAACATTCAATCGATTATTATACTTTAATCAATAAAATCATAAGTATTTGTTTATAAGTCCTAAGGGAGATGATTTTAATGAGGTATATGTAAAACAGCTTTTTATATATATATATATATATAAAGCTGTTTTACATATACCTCATTAAAATCATATATATATATATATATATATATATAATACGTATTCTTCTACATGGATCCATTAAAATTTTCATTGAAAAATCCTTTCTGGCACTGTTTTGCACCTGTTTTATAATATATAAAAATTATAATAATTCAGATGTTCCAATTACTGCATTGGAAAGATCATTAGATTTCTTGAGTAACTATCTTGTTTCATACTTCTGAGTCAAGTGATAATTTGGTAGTTTGAAAATAGGAATGTTGAACTAAATTTTACAAAACTTCATTTAATGGACCTATGTTGATATAAGTAATATTTACCTGCTGCCATTTTGTGACTTATTCCCTAATCTCCTAAATAACCAATTATTAATTTGAACTACCTTTAAACCTCATTTACATTTAATCATATTTTACCTATTCTATTTTATTTTAAAGCCCTTGTTAAATTTAAAGTGTATTGAATGAAGGAGCTTTTGTGAAATTTGATGATTGGTTGAAATATGTTTTATTTTAACTTAAAAATCAGTTGTAAGATCATTTTTTTTTTTTAGATTAAAATATTTTAATTTCTATATGTTCACTTTCTAAGTATGCCTGAAGATTGAAAGTGATTATTATCTTATTTACCACTCAAACTGTATTAATAAATTCTGATTGAAACTTGGTATAGTTTCCAAATTACTGGAATTATATTTATACTTAAAGCAGTGAAAAGTTGAATAAAACAATTGTAAGTTAAAATATTTCTCTGAATAAGGATATTCTTAATTGTTAAATTAATTTTAAGTTTGATTATATGGTATTGAAATACTATATAAAATATTTTAAAAAATAAATATTTCCTGTACTTTATTACCAAAATATAATGTTAATTAAAATTTGAATTTTATAATTGTGATTAAATTTTTTATCGAATATTGTAAATCATTGATCATTTCACTTTAATACCCGCCTTTGTATCAAAGTCCTGAAAGAGTCTACTTCCATCCCTCCTGATTTAGCCGGATGTCTACTATCGCTCTCGGAAATGCCACAGTGAAATACCAATGATTCAGAAGAAGTCCACATACCAAATATAACTTCTTCTTTTTTGTCTTTCCCCTATTTATTTCGGATTAATTCGGCTCGTGTTAATGTCCAGTGAGTCACAGAATGCTCTGTTTAATCTTACATAAGGGTGATACGTCATTGACTGTCCAGATATTCAGGAGCTATTAATATCACAATTTTTCTTGGTCATTGACAAACCTCTACTCTAATCTTTCAATATTTGATACAAATCGTGAGTTAACGAAATGGTATTAGGTTTTATTTTTATTTTTTTCTATTTTTATTAGGATCCATGTAAACAGATAGTTTGTTCGTGCTCCGTTAGGGAGTGTTAAGTCAAGATAGGTCAGGCTTGCTTGCTCGATGGGTCATTGCTGCATTATTGTTTATAGTATTTGATTTGAACGCGTTTAAATTAAAATAATCAAATGAAACACTCAGGTGTAGTCAATAATTGTTTATGTCAGACGCAGTTTCTATTTTCGTACACTCACATATACAAGTAGCTACTTTTTATATTTAAATTGCTATTTAGATTATTTGAAAAAGTCGTTTATAAGAGTACTTCTCAATAATGAAAATCTTTAGGCTTCAGGGATACCTGCAAATCTATTTCAAAGTTTATTGTCTCATTTAAGGAATATAAATGAGCCATTTGAATACTATCGTCTTTGTTTTTAAATTTTATTGTAAATTTTCTACCTCTATGATATATTTCATTTATATACAGGGCCGCCTCGTGGGTGGGGCGAACTGATTGCCAAGAGGGTACTACAGGTTGGGGACAACATGCTCATGGTCAAAAGTGAATTCTGAGTTCAATCGTTCAACTCTGAGAATCAAATGGATCCATTGCTCAAAGAAGTTTGTAACAATGATTAAAATGTTAGTTTTATAATTTCTGCTGTTGACCATGTGTGTGCGTAAAGTACGTTCAGATAGGCAAAATATCCCTTTCTTCCCTATAAACCTATCGGCAATTCTTTATAGTTTCACTAATACTATGACTGTCACAACCGTACCCAGTCTCTCCTATCCTGGATCCCTAAGCGATAGAATCGTAAAATCAAAACCTTCTCCGAAGTACAATTTGTCTTAAAATCCATCCTCTTTTCATTACGTATTTATTGTTCTTTTTTCTGACACCCAATTATTGGTATAAAGCAAGATGTTGCTCTAGATGATATATTTTATAACATGAATTAGAAATTTGACGATGGAGCACATTATTATTATTTTTAAGCCTTGCATCCACGAGATTATTGGGAATGTAGTTCTGAAGATGGGAGTAAATATCCCGAAACGTCAACTTGTTAACATGTAACGTTGATAATATAAGAAATATATTCAATCGTTACCAATTGGAAGTAATTATTATCAAATAACTACTAATAAGTATTTATTGTTATTTCTAGTACTTTTTGGGATCTCAGAAATATTTCTAGGAAAACAAATCGAACAAAGAGAACAGACGTTCCTTCGGAGGATCTAGGGCTAGTTTTCTACGTCCCTCTGCTCTTGACACTGATAGACGATAAGCTTTTATCTTGATCTTTTTAGTTCTAGCTTCAGTTGCAGTTGCTGTTAGATAAATCATGTAGGGATTCGAAATTTATCACTGATTGATGGAAATGCAAAGGTATATCTTGGTATAATAGGTGTAACTGGCAAGCATAAGTAAACAGGGAATTTATTAGCTGATTTAAAAATAAGTGAGAGGGAGGGCTGATAAAATTTCGCACAGGGCGCTTAAAACTCTTGTTTTTATAAAGTGTACTCGAATTCCAATTTAAAAAAAAAATTACCGTGTTCATCTTTTAATTTAGTAATATGTACCATGTATGTACATATTTTTCATTTTCATTTTGTCATTTAGCTGTAATTGGATACCACTATAAAGTTAGCTAGCTTAGAACTGTATCTAAATGAAAGAAACGTGAAATTTTTGGAAAACCCAGCATTTTTTCACTCCAAAAGAGATCAATATTTATAAAGTTATATCTCTTTCAGTTATTTAAAACGAACACATGGGAGTCCAAAAACCAGATGAATAGATAGAATTAACAAAGATGCTGCAGAGCTAAATGCTGCAAACTGGCAAGTAATAGCCCAAAATAGGCAGAGGTGGAGAAGTATAGTTTAGGCGGCCAAAGATCTAAAAGGTCTATAAAATCAATAGAAAAAAAAATTTTGGTAAATGAACCTCATGGTTGACTTAGCCTTATTTATTATTGTTATTCGTAAATTTCACACATTTAGAACATTTCTGTGAGCATTCACCTACTCAAATCTGAACCAAATTTTGTACAAATATTTTCGTCATTTCTCAGAAGTATGACTTTATGAGTTATTGTAAAATTGGTGATGAGCTTATTTCCATACAAGAGTCGAGCATTAATCCTTGAGGCAATGTTCGACTCTTGTTCTTGTGGATTGCTGGTTAAAAAGAAGTGTAGGAAAACTTGCGGACTTGAACTTCAAAAGCAATGTTTTGTTTCCAAGTAATGTTCACACTCTTTCTCAGGTAAACTTACTTCTTAATTTTCAAAGACCTATTTATTTTTCTTTATTAGAAGCACTCTATTGATATCTAATGAGAAAATTTTCCATATTTAATTTATGGCAAATGTATCAGTAATGGACACTGTACTAGTAATAGACAGTTTTTCCACTAATTGGCAAACAATGAGCTTTATAAACTCAATAGAGTGCAGATCTGAGTAGATTTATGGCCAGAATACTTAGAATGGTGGCGCCTGAACCTAAAGTGATGTTATGCCACATTAGCCGATTGGCATTTGATCTTTAATGGAGTTAGGATTGGATATTTGTATCAAAGATATTTGTCTTATCACTTTTATTTAGAGACAACTTTTTCTCTGCAATTTTCCATTTTAAAATTGTGCACAATTTATTTTTGGGTTTTTAATTAAATAAAAAAATCCTGTTGACCCTAAAACCTGGGTGTCTATAACTGATGCCGTATACGCTGTAAGAAGTTTTTTCTTGAATAAGTGACTTATTTACTAAAAAAAATTCATGAAAGACTAAATTTGCTGACCATCAAATCTATTTGCAAAGATTCACCATCAGAACTGAAGCTGTGACTCACGTTAGTGATGAAAATGTTTCTAAAAGTGACTATTATCGCTACATTTACCTCAAGTGAACTATTTGCTCTTGGAATTCTTATTATCTGAAGGTACGTTTAGATATTTCACAAACTATAGGACAAACAAACATATAAATGATTATTTCACTATGCTAGTATTTTTGCTTCTTGTTTTTGATATTTTCCATTTGCTGTCGGTATAAAAATAAAATAGAATTAACGTTTTGGTTTTGCAATAATATCACTGTCAATTTGGTTTGGTAATTGTGTTTCCTATAGTTTGCGAAATGTCTAAACCTGGCTTTATATGAAATGTTGAGTTCTCGCATTTGCTGAGAGGAGGGGGCGAATACGTTGCTGATCGAAAGCAAAGTATCGATAGTTTTCATTTATATACGGTTAGTGACACATATTAAGTTTTTAGTGATTTTAACATTACTAATAAAATTAACTCCATTTTACTTATTTCATTACTGAATTTTATCTTGATCATCAAGTACATTAGCTTTTTGTCCTTCAATACTTTTATTTAATTTAGTGAATCCAGAATTTAATAATTTTAAACACAACCCTTTCATAAACATAAGTTTTTTATATGACATATAAATTAATGAATACCAATTTGAATTTAGGTATATATAAATTTAGGTATTGAGAGGTAGGAATGGGGAACACTGTGACCATATGTTCATTGGAAGATAGCGCTTTGGTGGCTAGTTGTTTAGAAGATGGTGAATCAGTCTACAGAAGGGTGTGTGAGGAGTTAGTGGGAGAATTATTATCGCTACACACCTTTTGAGATTTAATATAAGTAGTCCAATTTTGTACCGGCATTGTTGTTACGTTCGTTGTAAATTTAGTCGCTGTCCTGCCTTTTATTCATAAGTAGCTCAGTAAATTAGTGTCCGATTGATGTCTAGTGTAATGTTTTCGGATTAAATCGACTCTAACTTAACGTTTTAATAGTATAAAATGCCTAGTGGTAAACATAAGAAAGGCCCTAGTGGCGAAGATTCCGAAGATGAAAGCGAAGTCTTGGAAGAAAGTCCCTGTGGAAGATGGCTTAAAAGGAGAGAAGAGGTAAGTACGTTAGTTGAAGTAGTTCAAATAAGTCTCTTCCTAAGTTGATAAATCTATCTATATATATATATCGTTAAGATTTGTTTCTTTTCAGCAGGGTAGGTATTCTTTGTGATTTGGTGTTTGCATCAGAATTCTTGTTTTTTAATTTTTGAGAGAATATCCATGTCCCTTTGTTTAAATTCCAGGAATCCTAAGTTCTGGCTACCCTTTGTGTTCATTTTTTATAAAACTTTAAATTATTTCTTTGACAATATTATACATTACCTCAACTAATGATTTTCAATATTTCTTAAAAAAAAAAAATATTGTTATGTTTTGTCTATAAACTTAAATATGTGTGTAGTCACTTTTTCTTATTTTTTTAAAAACTAACTACTGACTTTGACAGATTGCTAACCTCAACTATGATTTGGTTAAATACTAGAGTTTTTGTTGAAATAAACAACAGTGTTGGTTAACACTGTATTCTAATATTATTTAAAGTAGTTTTCACTTGTAGAGTTCATTAGTTATAGTACTGAATCAATATTTTCCCATATTTATTTACTGCATTATTCTCTATATTTTTATGGTTTGTTAAAGTATTAACCGGTTAAGCAATGTCTGTTGAGTTGATGCAATACATAGTACTTTCTTGTAAAGATTTCTTTTTCTGACCTGTAACTATCGAATGATCATTATTATTCTTCATTTCAATATGTTGAAGCTTGTTCGAGAATGTTTTAGTTGGCTCTTTTCTGTAAGTATTATGTTTAGTATGAAAACATAGCAAGAGTATTCTGTTCTGAATTTTTTTTTTAAGATGTATTTCATTTAAACATTACTTTTTTCCAGTTAGATGTATTTTTGGTTGTTTTTACCTCATTTAAATTGGTTGTTTTTTTTCGGTTCAGTTTTTCTTTTTAATCAAATCTTTAAATATCTATTAACTTTTCTTTAGATAAATTTAAACTATGTAATACTTTTTAAAAACATCTATTTCACTATGAATTAAGTTTTTGATTTGTTTGTCTTTGGTTTATTCTTTATACTGCTTAATACTTTACTTTTCTTTTGTGAATTAACACATTTCATTCACAGCTCTTCAGAAATATAGTTGCTATCACTTTTAAGTAAGAAATAGTTACTTTTCAGCGAACTATGAAAAAGAACTTCACTTTAAACTCTCCTTTTGCATATAATCTCTTTATCTCTGGAGATTTTAACTTCTCTAAGTTTTTAATTTTTATTCAAAAGACTTTATTTTGTATAATTGCTTCCTGTATATTCATTAAAGTAATTAATACCAAAAATACAATTCTTACCCTTTTTTATTTGGCATACACAAACTTAATTGAAATATAATATATCTAGATAAACTACCTATTGTTTTCCAGATTCTAAGTTGATATATTAAAATTAATTTTTTGTTAATAGATTAAAATTCAAAATATAATTTTAGCTATTTTATTACATTTTGTGTCATATTGTTTTACATAATATTTAAATGTTTATCAAGTTAATTAGTATTAAATATTAATTAGTTTCCCTTCGATGTTTGATCACTAGCACCTCTTTCTACGTTTTGTATCATTCTTTCAGCACTCACATATTCATATCTTATTAAATCTCCCCAAAAGATTTATTGCAAGTTGTATTTCATTCAGATTTATTTTATATTAAATATTGTAGGTAATAGAAACTGAATTAAAGTACTTCTATGTTCTAGAAATTATTATTTTTTTAATCTTTTTATTTTTTTTTATATTTTTTATTCTGACTTATTTTTTATTTAGAGAATTATTCTATTCGATAATATTTAATATGAAAAGTTTATGTTTGTTCAATAATCATTGGAAAAATCTATAATATTCTATAAAATACGGAAGTTCACTGTTTTTTGTTGTTTGATATTAACATTCTTCTGAGTGACCTGGATAAGTGTTATCTTATTGGTCGAAAACCATGCAAGTTGTTGATAGCAGCAATGTATTGCAGTATAGTGTATTACTGTCATTAATTTGTTATCACCATTCATAAATAATATTTACAAAAATATTTTAATCTCTGAAAGATATGGGGTTTCATTGATTCATTTTATAAAAATAAAAGGTTATCCTCACTTGAAAAATATATAGAAGTCGGTTGTGGATTGAAGTCAAGAAAGAAAAAAACGCAGATAAGTGTGATATTATTTTTAATGCGTGCCTTTCCATTTCCTTGTGCCTTTATCAGGACTAAGGAAAACAAGATTTAAACATCAACATATAATAGCAACAAAGAATAAATAAAATTATGGTAGAAAATACATTTGATAATATGAAACAAATGAATAGTACTTCTACTTAAAAAAAAGTTTGCAATGTAACCAATATTAAATTCTTCAATATTCTTATATGTATTTACAGTTGTATCTTTATTTATTTATATTTTTAGGTTTATACGTTATAGTTATTGCTTGTTTTATTAAGCTCTGAGAGTCTGTAATTTAAGCCAAAATATTGGGCCTCATCAAAAATAAGTTTCAAATTATCTTTTTTTTTTATCCCAATCCCCATTTTCCTTTTCCCTAACAAGTTATGAAAACGATATCTGTTATAGATTAATTTATAATTTATATACTTATGCTCAGTTATCGCAGTTAGTAGAAAAAGATGCAGTTTGTTTTTTCCTAATATTTTTATTGTTCTTTATGAAATTATTTTTAAAAACCTTAAAAATTTTAAGTTAGGTTTATTAAATTGTTATGGCTTCAACGAGAATAAATATGTTAGATGCTACCTGAGAGCATTCCTTCTTATTTTGAGAGTCTCATATTCCTCTTCTCTTTCCCTCGAATCCATCAAATGGAAAAAGATTTATTATTCAACTTTGATTTAAGTTAACGTAGTAATTAAATATCAAACAATGACTCACTTTGATAGGGACACAACTTTTATAAAAGTGTCTTGTTAAATTTTATATTGGACCAACTCCAAAATTAGCCAGTTCCAACCTGTACTCAATATCAGAGGTGCCCATCCCTACCAAGGTCGATGGCGCATGATACTCCTCCCTCCTTCTAAGATATTTTATTTCTCTTCTCTTCTTAAAAACAGTGCAAGCTAACGTAAAATTTAAAAAATGATAGGTCATATACAAGTACACTTTCAGTCGTCTACTATGATTTTCTCTTGATCACTGGTTTGAAACTTTTCAATCCGAAAATTCATAATCCTGTCAAAATTTGTTCCCCATAAAAATTAAAGATATTGTCAAAATGTGCTCACCTCAAAAATTTTGATGGCTCAACTTGCCCCCCCTTTGTAAGCACCCCAGCTCAATATTTCACCAATCATGGGATGTCTTTTGTTGCATGGTGATCAATTGACTTTTCCTTTAGTTTTTACCACAGGAAAAACAAAGTAGCAATATATACAAAACTTATTGTTCAGTGTTTTTTTTATTTTTTTTCTGTAAATACCTGTTTTAGTATTTTTTATTCTACTTTAAAATGTTTTTATGTGACTAATCCAATAATTACTCCATTTTCAAATTCCAAATTGTTTTAGTTTCCTTTGCTGGCACATAAAAGTTAATATTTTCTAATTTGTTTTGCTAACAATTTTGGTTTGTTTTATGAATAATTTTGGTTCAGTAATTGATCAGTTTCAGATTTTTTATATCATATCTTTCATTTTTAACATTTATAACTATTTAGTTTTTTTTAGTATTGATTGATGGAATGCTATATTGTAGCAGGAACATGTAATCTAATTTTGAATGTCAGGGTTAATCTCTGACCCCGGATAGCATATCTGAAACAAAATATCGAAATCTATATCAGAAAGTTGATATTGAAATATCGCTTTCAAACTACAATAGTGACTGACATCTTTACTATTTGTTTGTATTTGTTTTGTTATCCAATTTTTTATGGTTTGAAATATATCAAAATATGCTTGAATAGTGCTTTGGGCGAAGAATGACGATATCGAAATGTGTGAAAGATTTAAAAAAATGGCTTATGGCTCAGTAACCAACCCATCTTGTTTTTGTGAAATAAGTTTGCCCGAAATGCTCTGCTTTCAATTCTTGTTAATGATATCAGAATGTAAATATAGTTACTATATATCATCTAAAATTTCATATTGATAGTAAGTTGTCGAAAATCGACACCAATTTCTGCCCCGGACATGCTCTGTTAAGCATCCATCGCAAGCCATTTATTTCCGTTCAACGCAATATCTATTTGATCTTACTCCTTTGTTTCTGCAGTTTCCATTATTGATAATTTGTAATTGTTGAAAAAAAAGAGATATGTTGATCAATTAAAAAATTGTGTCATTTGCGAGAATGATTATGTTCGGCTAAATACTGTAATATGCTAAAAGATTTAGAAATCCCTGGTGATTCCCCTGTTTTGGCGCATAAAATATACCTTATTAGAAAAAGTGAAAACTCAATTCTTATTACTAAAAAATCCCCACAAATATCGAGTGATGCTCTCCTTCACTTCGTAAATTACTGAAAACATAATTGTCCATCTGTAGTTATTTATTGCTTGCCATTATGTTCTGATTAAGTATGTCAACATGCACCTTTAATGTTATTATATTAATTTTACCGTAATTACAAAATCTGTTGTTGTTTTTTTATATAATTTTATTTAACAATGAAAGTATTCAGTTTTCTTTTCATATAGAATACGACAAAACATCATTAATTTACTCATCGCTATTAATTGTATAACAATCATGTAATTTAAAGAGGAGGGGCTTTCAGGCTGCAGAATGTATTCCACAAAAACAATACCTGAATTTTAATGCTGAGTAAATTCGATTCTATTGAAATCTTCTAATTATTTTTTAAAGATTCAATTTATCCAAAAATGTTCTGTGGAGACACCATTTTATGATAGCTCATTAAATTGCTCGGAGAAACAATCGAGAAGGCTAGACAGGTTCTTACGTATTTCCGGTCAGTCTTAGTAGGAAAGGAACTGAAATTCGTCGTAAGTTTTTTGGCCCGATAGTGATGGGTTTCAAGAATTTTATGAATCATTTTAATGTTTCGGTCGCACTTACAGTATCCATGTATCATATATTTTACATGATCGTTATTTTTAACTGCCGTGGTAATGGTTTACGTTCGACAGCGATTAAAAATTATGTCGTCGCTGTCTCCGGTTTTAAAATATCTCCATTTTCTTTCTGTATAATAACTATACCTTGAAACTTTAGTTGTATATAGCAACAGATTTTTTTGCGACGGTATGTGGTAGGTATAAAATTCTTATATAAATAATGACCCTATTAATAAATATAAACTGATTTTAAATTAATTTTACAGTTGAATTTTTTTTTTCTTATTTGGTTCATTACTACTTTCCAAGAACTTTCATCTCTAAACATTTCTCAGAATTTGATTCATATGGGCACGGGCGGATCTGCGGGGGGGCTTTCGGGCTGAAGCCCCACCCAAAATGGAAAAATATAACCATGTTTTATGGAAAGAAATTTAAAAAATACCTCTTAAAGTATTATTGTTCGTGTAATTACATTTAAAAGGACTAAAGCAATAACTTAAACACCATTTCATAGAGGTAGTTAGTTTCTTTCTGTTTTTCCAAAGTAATTATCGTTATATTTATGAAAAAAAAGGTTTCGGGCTGAAGTCCCCCCAAAATTAAATTCTGGATCCGCTAGTGCATATGGGAAAAATAAGATTTATTTTTCAATATTATCCAAGTGTACTGCATAGAAGGGGTGTTTTTTTTTTTTTTTATATATAACTTTTAGTTTTGTGGCGACGAATTATAAAAATTAGGGACGGAAGATTTTTTTAATTTAGAAAACGAATTTTTATCCTTAAAAATGATTGGCACATTATTTAATATAGATTTTAAGAATTTTTCACGTAAAATATTTACATCTTAGAGCTAAGATAAAAAATATGGCTCTACTCTGCTAACAAAATCGTTGCTTTAATAAGAAACTCTTTTAAAAAATGAAAGACGTACCAGTTAGAGATTGATCATAGCAAAGGGGTTATATCAGATAGCAATTTGTCCTGGAAAATGACGCCACTAAGGAGCTCCTAATTCCAACATTGGCATTGAACCTGTCAATAACTGGTTCAAGTGCTGGGTCTCAGCAGCTGATGTTTCCTTCTTTCGAAATATCCGTTTCGTGTTCGTGCCAATGTCAAGAGCGATCACTATCGGTAGGATTGGTCTAAATTCGTCGCCGGTTTCAATGGCCGTGGTGTCCAGGTGGCCAGAGGAAAGGCATTTCAAGTTCATGTTTGGTAGGCAGTGTTCTTGACGAACAGGATTTCCTGTTTCAATTAGTCCTAATTTCAAGACCGTTTTTATTTTAGAGTTTCTCGCCAATAGTAGAAATTAATAAATATGTATATGTTTTGATAATGTATTGGTTGGTCGGACGTAAATTTCGTAAGTTTTACTATCGACTGTTATTAAGTTTTATTTAATTTTTTAGAATTTATTAATAACAAACGAGTGCTTAATAAAAAAAATGTGTCCTCGGTTTCACCTTCGTTAAAGTTAGGTCATAAATACCTGTTTTAGGCACACTGTACATACAAGACCAAATGTATCTCAACTAAAAGCATTCATCTACACACTACAAACAATTTCAAGATAATGAACATATTAACTCATTCATTCAACGTATGACCACAATTGACATGCCTGATAACACACTTACGAGACTCAAAAGAAGCTGGATGAGTGATCTCGTTTAAATACTGATATTAAATCATAATAGGAACGATGCCGCTGAGCGCTTTTCTCCCTCACGCCTAACAACGTGCCTTTCTTGTATGAATTTCTTACAGGTGTGGATAGAGAAATGAAGATGAAAAAAAAAAAAAAAAATATATATATATATATATATAAGACTTGACTTCAGTTGGATGGTTTTTATATTAAGTTTTTGGAACAAGGTATGTTTGAAACTGTTTCAAAGAAATTAATAGCACTTCAAAGTAAACTATATTAGTTTTTTTCTCGATGTGATGAAGTTATATGCTGGTTTTCTCCACAACTGATCTACATACGTGTCCATAGAAAAAACAATTTTCTCTCAACTCAAATTAGACGATATTTCTTTGTCTCTACGGTTTTTCTTTATTGTCTGTGTGATTTTTACTTCGTTTATCATTACTGAATTGAATGTTATGAAAAATTGCAAGATAAAGACTCTTGTATTGATAAATAGTTTGGTGACTCATACTGTTACTTCGATCTCTTTGGATCTTGTGACTAACCTTTCGGTTACCTAGAGATCCCAAAGACAGGTCATGAATCATATTAGATCTTCGGTACTGAGCCAGGCAATATCTTCAGGTTTAAGGTATGAACTGTTATGTTGGTACTCAGCGTCTGCTCTTCGTGCTTTTAACGCCGAGTTCAAATATGGCTAGTGAGGAAAGGTAATTATTATTTTTAGGCCACCCCTTGTCACATTTTGGCACAACTTTGTTTTGTACCTAATACGGACATAAATTAAGGTTTGTGTCGCGTCATTCGTGGTTTGAATGCACAACAAGTCTTTTTCTTTTTCATTTCCTAGAAATCGATTTGATGTATCGCGATTCCGCCCCGAGTCCAATATTCTTATTATTAGTTCCAGAGCTCCCTTTTCCTATCCGCAATCTCATTACCTTCGATCCCTTCATGTCTCGCCGTCCAAATTAAATCAAGGATATTGCTTTTCATAAGATGTTAAAAGAAATCTAGGTGCTTGCAGTCAAACCAAGTTAATTTCTCACTGCTGTTGTGGAGCTGTTGAATTTTATATATATTATTAATACTATTATTCACTTAAGTAACATATTCTTCTAATCAATTATAGATTATGGAGTTTCCTTTCTTACCAGGATCAGTTTCCATTTCATAGAAAATGAATAATGGTAGGATCTCCTAATTTATTATTGAAGATTCTTAAATTCCTGGCGCCATGATATATCAAATATATATATATATAACTTAAGATATGAATTATTATAAGAAAATCTCAGACCCTACACAAAATCTCAAAAAGAAAAACAATGGTATAGCAAATCTTTTACTTAATCTGGAATTAATACAGTTCGACCAATATAACAGAATATATACGAATAATGCCCTACCGCCTAAAATTTATGGACTTCCGAAAATACACAAAGCAAAAAAAAAAATTCATTCTTAAGTTATAATATATAAAGGTCGAATTATAAAAAAAACATTGTAATATATATATATATATATATATATATATATGTTAAATTAAGTTAAATGGTACTTGTCTTTTATTGACTGGCTGGGTTCTTCAAGCTTTTATTATAAACAAAAAAGAAAAAAATGTTCCTTTCGTGCGGTCTCAAAAGTTGACCTAGACACATTAAAATAAAATCGATACTCTTAGAAATTATGTGTATCAAATATTATTATACGATTTTGAAAAGTTGTCATCTATTTTTCGTGATAAAAAATAATATTATTTCAGTAGTTGTTTTAGTTTTTATAATTTTGTCTCTCTCACTCTCTCTCTCTCTCTCTCTCTCTCTCTCTCTCTCTCTCTATATATATATATATATATATATATATATATATATATATATATATATATATATATATATATATATATATATAGTTTACTTAGTAATTATACTAACGTGATCTTACCTCACTATAACCATTGTCCAAGTGGCAGAATGTTATATTATTCAATAAATTACTAAATTTTCAAATTTATTTAATAGTTATTTATAAACCCTCATGTATTGTGCGTTAGAGGATTTAAACTGTTAGATATTGTTTCAAATATGTAAAATTATAATTATAATTTAGATTTGTAATGATCTGTTATAACTATTTCGTTGATTTTGTTATTTTTTTTCAACGATGTCCTACACAACCTAGAAAAGGCAGGAGAACTTACTAAAAGGGTTCCGGTAGACTCTGATAAGAGAGTTGTCCAATGATAGCAGACATTGAGAAAGAGTTTTAGTAAATAATCAAAATATTTTATTGTTTTAAAAAAATTAGCCATAGAATGAATATACAATTAAGTTTTTACTCATTATCACTTTTGTAAAAAGTCTTCGTCTACATGCCTCTGACCAAAGGTTCATAAGTTTGTCTCGTTTCAAAGTGAATATAATATTATTGGATACTCGAGATTTAGAAAAATAAATAGAAATTTATTATTTTTCTTGTAAATATTCAATATGGAAAAGTCTTATTACTTATTTATATAGACTAAAAAATTCATTTTTTTTTTTTAAACAAGTTTCTCCATTGACTATGGTCTTGCTTAATTAAGTAATCTTGCTTATATGTTTAATCAGTTTTTATATGTGAAATTTCATTTATATATTTTTCGTTTCATGATAACATTTAAAAACGAATACTTTTCTGATTTAGTCCTTTTTATGCTGAAATCCTTTGCTTAAAACAAAAAAAAACACTCGATTGCTCAATAACTTTTTATTGACATCGACTTACAATAAATTCAGTTTTCATGTTTAAATATTTACCAGAAGGGTGAGCACCGCGGGTTTTCTATGTCTAATTGTTTAATTGGTTAATTGATTGATTGCTATTACAAATGATCTAAAATATTCATAAATGATTATTTATGTTTGAAACCCATTGATTTTCTTAAAATATGTTAGGTTCTGTATTTAAATTATTTTTAAAAGGAAACTATAGGCATTTTTCAAAGCCAGTAGTGTGCTATTCATTATATTCAGTAAATTGAGACTTTCAATCGACAGTATTGAGATGTTCAGATGAAAGTCAAACCTAAGAAGGACGTTTGTACCCGATACTACACTGAAGGAAACCTACTGACGTGTTCTGCTACTTTCTAAAGTCCCTATAAAGCTCGACAGATGCCAAGCAGAAAGCCGAAAACAGCAAAAAAAAAATTGTATTAAAATCTAAATGATCTGCAGTTTCACAAAATAAATAAATAAAGACAAGATCGAACGTCTGTTCAATATAGGAGGTTCACCTAATGAGTAACTATGACTTTCATTGTCAGAAGTGTAGAATGGTCAGTTATTCCACCTTAAAATTTAAAAAATTAATTTCCTTTAACAATTATTTACTGTAAAAGAAAAACGTTTTAAGGTTTTTCAAAATAAAAAAATTTCATCGTCTTTCTTCTTTTAGGAAATTCAAACGTTAGATTCCGTAGTACACACTCTTTTTTATCAAATTATTAACATTCGCCTGAAACTTCGTAAAAGTTTCATTTCATCGTAACCTACAACTATTTTATTGACGAAAACTCTTAGAATTGCGGCGTTTTCAATCTGGAGGGGGGCAAACTTTGTCTATTTAATTAGGTACTAAAAACTCGTAAATACCCATTTCTTTTCTACTTGGATCGTAACATAATTTGATCACGAAAACGAATAAAAAAAAGTGGCCAACAAAAATATTGGGCCGTTTGTCCTATATAACCTCCTTATTTTGAAAATTTGTGGGTGTAGGTCACGCTAAACGGCTCAATATTTTTAAGGCCACTTTTTTTTTATCGATTTTGTGATCAAACTATCCTGCGATCCAAGTAGAAAGCAAATGGGTATTTACTAGTTTTTAGTACTTAATTAGTGAAGTAAATACAAACGAAGGCTCTTATGCACAAGATATTTAAGTATTGAGCGAGCATAATAAGTTAAGGTATAGATGTGTTTTATTGCTTAGCTAATAAACTGGAGAAGGATGCTTTCCAGTGGAACAAGCTAATCTTATTAAATAAATCATTATTTTAACATTCGTGGTAAAATATGAAGGCTTCACTAATTATGTATGTTCCATAGATTATGTTTATAATATTATATTGTATACTATATACGAATAAACGTGTGTCGCTTATATACTCATAGTAGTAGTTGTTTCCACTTGGGTATGCCAAAAACTATACCCAATAAGCTTTGTGTGCAGGTATGTCCCGTACCTGGGATTGGGTCAGGACCCACTCGGAGAAAGATTAAGACATCCGATAAAGGAAATAAGTTCTATTTTGGTCCCCTTTGTTAAGGTAGAGGCTGTTGTGGGGGTCAGAAAGAGCAATTGGTCCAATATGATTCAATTGGCCTCTTCCTCAATTTATAATCCTGTCTCCTTCAGCTCATCTCCTTCCTCCACCTTTATTAGCTCCATTCTTCCAAGCTATCCGTTCCATCCGCTCCGGGGGACAACTGTGGTGAAAGCGGGGTGGCCGCTTCAATGGACCCATCTCCTAGGAAGTCCATGTGCAATAGCTATTCTATACAATTTCTCCTTTTATGCAGTTATTATAAAGTAATTAGTTGAAAAAGAAACGAAAACTGTGACTAATTCGATATCACAGACCAGTCCATTATTTATTACATATTAGATAATAACTTCATACAATCCTCTCTGTTCTGTGACCCTCTGCAAGAGGTTCGTTGATGGATCATTAATAATTTAATTTAATCATTGTCCTTTATCTCATTACTCTTTCAATGGTTTCTCACTGAAAATAAAATATGCTGGTTATCTATTATTTTTGAAAAAAATAAATGGGTAACTGCCAGAATTTTTATTAGCTTACTGTCGCTTATTTACGAATTATGATTTTGATTTAATGATAATAATTTTTATTATAGGAGTTGAGTCTGATTAGTAATCTTCATTTTTTTATTAGTTTTATTGCCAACGTTTTTATTAATTTCCTTTAATAATTCTTAGAAATATTTAGTTTAATAAAGAAAAATGAGTAACCACTTGATTATAAATGCAGCTCTGTCTAGTAAGAAATTTACTTCTTCTATAGATGTATTCAGTTATATGAGTAGTCACCCATCCACCTTAGTATTTAGGTTACTTAACAATATTCAAGGGTTTGCTACTTACCGGTTATTTACTTTTTTTGTACTTAATTGCGTTTTTCTCAACTTTGGGTAGGACCACTGTTTTGTACTTCAGAATAACGAGTGACTTTTCGAAATAACATATGAACGCAACTGTAATTTTTTTTTTAATTCTTAAGGGCTTAAAGCATGAATGAAGACGAGGATGTGATTGCAATTAGGATCCATAGTACCAAAAGCATCCCCCCTTTTTTACCAAAAAAAAACACGTTATAATCTCTTCCTTATCGATTAAAAAAAAATTATATAAAAATTTCACTCGCAAAGAAAGCACGGTCCATATTAGTAAGAGCCACTACCAGACTAGAATATATGCTATCAGTCTTAAGGCACTAAAAGAATATATTTTTATGAATTTCGACTTGATTTATCGATACAAAAATCGATACAAAAATTTATCGATACATGGATCAAACTTACTCAGATCTTTGTGTATAGATCTCCGGGTGTACAATGTTGTGATTTCACGTAAGGAAAATTTGTCATAGTACTCAGTGATTTAATTTTATGGAACGTTACTTAATGATATTTGTTTTGCATTAAATCCATGTAAAATTAATTAATATTTTTATACCTTCATTTCGTCAAATATGTGTTGATTTTCCTCAAAAAAACGCAACTTTGCAAAAAAAAAAAAAAAAGATGCCTGTATTTTTTTTTGTAAACCACCTAAGCAATACAAAATAAAACGCTACTGTTAATGCGAAAGTTCGTATATAAAAATTGAGCTTTGCATAAAAAAAAAAAAAAAAAAAAAAAATCCTACTGTTTCGTTATGATTTATTAGTATAATTTCATATTTCATTTTTCTCTGCAATTTTCCTATTTAGCAGACCACTTCTTGCATTTGTAGACTACAAAATGTCAGGTTTAGGGCAAAGAGGATAAACATGTTAAATCGTTACATTCGACCTTTTGCACTAATTATCGAAAAGTGGCTTACTATTTGAATGTTAGTTCTTAATGAGCAGTTTGCAAAAAATTAAGAAGTAAAAAAAAAGA